GTCGAGATCGTCCTGTAATCTGCGACAGTCTTCAACATCGAGGATCGGATGAAAAATTTTGGTATCATCTGCGTACATGAGAAAGCGGGTGTGATGAAAGCAATTAGCAATATCGTACAAATAAATATTAAAGAGCAGGGGAGCCTTAAGGAACCTCGATGGAATTGAAGCTTTGTCCGAACAGTAACTACCAATTTTCACCCACTGAGACCTATTTCTTAAGTAAGAATTAAGTCACCTCAGCAAGTCTCCATGAATCCCTAAATTTTCTAACTTTATAAGGAGTAAGCTGTGATCGATTCTATCGAAACATTTTGAAAAATCTGTATATACCACATCTATTTGCACGCGAGTATCCATTTTGCGGGAGATGAAGTAGTTGACGCATAAAACCATGTTGTTCACTGGGAATAAATGAGGATACGTGCGCATAGATGGTTCCATACACAAGACTTTCAAAAAGTTTACTTTAAACGAGCAATTCTTGTATATATATAATCGGAATCTCGGAAACGGTTCCAGCGATTTTCATGAAATTTTGTATGTGCGTAGATTCGGGGGCGAAAAATCGATAACTAGCTAGTTTTCATTTTTAGAAAATGTCCTTTTATCCCTGTCTTCAGGGAATGAAAAATATCATTCGAATATGACAGTAAATCTCGCCGCAAAAAGAAATGTTATAATAGCTCGGTCGGTTGCCGGGCCGCGTTTCGTATCACGCTCATTTACACACTTATTTTTTTTTAATATTTTTTTTCTATACCAGATCATTTTCTTTATTTTTTATTTTTTTTTCCAAAATACATGATTAACCAAAGAAAAAACCGACCAAAGGTCCTCCAGGTACTTAAATATTAAACACAGAAGAAAGGCTAGCAGTATTTATTCGAAGAATATATTTAATTTAAGCACAACTTCGGGGGTTATATGAACAAATGAGAGAGTATGCGAATTCAGTTGATTGGAGGTGGAAGACAAATGTGCTATACACTGACTGAAAATATTCGAGGAAAGTATCACATATGCCTTTTCCACTAGTGATTAAATCTTGGTCCTTTACAATTTGATTCTGAATGCTACTTCGTGTCTTAAGATTTTGGGGAAAAGTCCACATATTTTTAGGATTAATCTTTATAGACATTTCACATTTACTTATATATTTATTCCAGCAGATATATACATTTACAGACTAACAACGATAATGAGCCATTATTATCAATTTTCTATATAATATTTTAAGGAATTTTTTTTGTATTTATGATACGATATAATAGACGATTATTATGGAAATGCCATCAGCATTATGGGTACAATAGTTTTCCAATATAATTGATTGAGATACGTCACTATTCTCGAAACAAGAATCCTAATAGATCCGGAGTTTATTATTACTTTCCATTTCATAAGTAGCTACCCTGCATTTTTGATTTCTAAGAATTGAAAAATTCCAACCTCGTTATACGTCACATTTGCCACAGGCAAGGTTGATGCGTTATCCATTTTGTTTGAGGTATGTTTAGGTATAATATCTTCTATGGCTACCACCAGGAATTCTCCAAATTTATCTGCAACAATAATTAAACATACATCGGTAGAACAGTAAATTCAAATAAATTCAAAATATCTTTATTCAAATCGACGCTTGCGCGTTCTTATGAAACGTCGAATTTTATATAATAATTGATATATAAGTTCGTAAGCAAGGTACCACCGATTCGGAATACAGTTTCTGTTGAGAAGAGGCAAGAAACTCAACTCTTTTTTTTTTAAAGATCAGATTACAAGCATTGGCGTTGACGAGATATTCCGTAATGATACAATATGTTTTAGCCAAAAGTTTAATTTTACTTCTGCCTTTAAATTGGTCAAGTGGCAGACTTACTCTTAATTTTCTACTGTGGGATTTTATTATACATGCACACACTGCCCCATGAACGACCTTTTTACTTTTTGTAGATGAAACAATGATGTAGTTACTTTGTCCTTATTTCAAGCATTTGGTTTGTCTGTCACTATTCTTTAGATCATAATAAAGATTATGTCTAACATACAAAATATTACAACAAATGTATTGAGACGCAACAGTGTAGTGAGTATTATTTTCTTTAAAAAGATCTTTTAGTGTATTCCGGGCTATGTTATAGATTGCTCGGACAGCTCTTTTTTGAAAAATAAATATAGAATTTATATCAGATGTACTATCCCACAACAAAATGCCGTACAAGATGCTGTGAAAATAACTGAAATAAACAAGTCTGGCAGTGTCGATGTCTGATAACTGCCTAACCTTCTTAATCGCAAAAACAGCGGAGCTTAAACTATTCGCAAGGGATGGGGACTCCAATGGAGCTTTGAATCTACTGTAATTCCCAATAATACAGCGGACACGACAGGATTAAATTAAAGTTTGCCATCCTTACACTGGGAAGGGTAAAAAGAAGACATTTAGTTTTTTTGGCATTTAATATCATATTATTAATTGTAAACGAGTAGAGAATATACGAAAGTGCACCATTCACGTTATCATAATTTGATAAATTTCAGGAAACTTTAAAATGGGCGATGTATCGTCGGCAAACAGTACAACATCACACAACTCACAATCATAAAAGGGGAGATCATTTATATATACTAAAAATATTAATGGGCCCAAGATTTATCCTATGGGACACCCATTTTCATGGGGGACCCTTTAAGTATTTAAAATAAGGTAAGAGGCAATGAGATTGAGGGCGACGCCGCGATGATATTTACACGATGCCACACCAAATCATGAATGAATAAATTGTTTTTTCTCATTATTCATAGTTATATACCCACCTAAAATTACAAGTAAGATAATATAATTTCTAACTATGGCACTGTTCCCTGCGTTCCTATACTACATATTAAATTTTATATTTGTTGTAGCAGACTATATGTTAGTTAGAAATGTTAGGACCATAACCACTATTAAATAAATATAACGCTATAATCGCTATTAAATATGAGTTCTTAGCTCGAATATCAATACTGGGTTTTAGATTTATTCGCTCTGTCTTTCTTACCGATAACTACATCCGCGTCGTTTTTTACAACGTTTGTTTCCGTACCGCGTATTGGAACCAACAAACAAAGACTCGTTTGGGACAGAAAGAACTCTTCGGGTCTTTTGTCTGCAGATCGATACCGTATGCTCAAATCTTCATTATTCCACTCTGGATGCATTGTACTTACGCTAAAAACAATTTGTGTTAAATATTTAAGTCAATCCACTATAATATATGAAAAAAATGTTCAACTTAACAAATAAACCGTATTATGCTATGGTAAGATTAGGTTAGCAAAAAAAATAACCCAATACGGAGTGAAGTCAAAAAAGGTAAGCAAAAAAAGTCTCAATTTTTCCATCTTGTGAATTATTGATTTTCATGTTAGTACATTACAAATAAGCCGTATAATAATTCTCTAGGTAAGAAAACGAGATATAAATCGAGAAAAAATAACATTACCTAAAATAACACCTAAAGAAAATATAGAAAATAATAATTAATATTAAGTACCTCGCAACCTCCTCCTTCGTAATATCGTTCCAAACAGTTTTTCCTTCCGGGGTGCTTAACTTTTCGTATAGTTGTATGTTAACAGTGTACCATAAATCAGGTTTTCCAATCTCATACACAGCGTAATACTTTTTCTCTTCCGAATCATCGTATGACGTTTCTTCCTTACTTTCTTTAGAGGTTATGTGATAACTTTTCGGAGTTTTCGTATCGTATGGATTAAAGAGTTCAACATTGTAGTTCTTGTTAAAGTTATGCGTTTGAAGATACTCTTCGCTATGTTTCTTACTGTAGTGAATTGGAGAAGTGTCAAAGTGTTCGGTAATATGTCGCTCCTGATAATCGTATTTTTGATTTTGATCGCTATTTAAAAATTTTGGCATTTGAACTTTCTTAAAAATGTTTCGCACCTCTCTATCTTGAACGTAATGATGATAATAGTCATTATTACTCCAAGGCGAAAAATAATTATACGCGGAGGATAATTTGGTTTGACGTTTTACTAGTTTCTCTCCAGTTATGTTATGTTTTGGAAATATGATATTATTTTCTGAAAGGATACAAAAGTTGTGCTTCGATAAATTTCACAATGTAATTAGTTAAATTTTAAGTTTAGACATTGTTTATGTGAGAAGGAGACAAGCGAGCTGACGATTCGCCTGATGTTAAGTGATGACCGCCGCCCATAGACATTTACAACACCCGTAGTGTTACAGATGCGTTCCCACCTTTAAATAAAGTGGATCCTGGTTACCTCACTCACCAGACGTAACGCAGGAGTATAACACTTCCATTTCACGTCGGTCCGTCTGTGAGGTCATAGTACTCACCCCGGATGTACCTGCTGAATCGTGCAACTACTAAATTTAACTCTTTGTTTAACAATAACTTACATAACGGCTTAGCAGCAAATGTACCAGATAGCCAGTTCGACCAAGGAAATATCATGGCCTCGAAGACAAGCGTCAATTAACAGTATTTTTAATTTCGCGTTTCTTTATAACCGATAAATTATATAACCGGAGAGCTACCCTCATAGCGGTTGGTAGGTACTGTACCTGCATGATTTCTCACATTATACGTGATTTTTGTTGATGAGTCTATGGCCTACCTCGGATACTTTTAGGTCGACCATTAGATCAATTGTCACGCATAAAATTAATAACCGATTTACGAGCACTTGAAATGCTCATAGAATCGAGTGGAATTGTTTAGCCCAATTTTAATAAAGCGACGCAAATCGCATTATAACTGGATTACTTGAAGTTTAATAAAACCGGTCCGGGCAGAACGTCGGGCTTAGTGGCGACGCGGGGGGAAGGGAGCGGAGCGAACGAACACGCGCGAGGAGAAGCGAGCTTGTAAGAGGCCGGTCACCCCCCGCCAGTGCAACAAGCGAGTTGCTAAAGGAAACGGGACGCCGCGCCGCTCTATAACATATTACAATTCATAATAAACATGGAATCTTTTATAGAAGGAGTACGCTTGCACCCGTGCCTCTGGAACCCTCTGCACCCTGATTATCGCGAGATACACGTTAAAGATAAGGCATGGCGGCGCGTAGTGGAACATTATAACAACGAATCCATACCGAACAGTGAGTTACATGTTTTAAGTTTAGATTATACACGTGATACATTTAGTTAAAGGTCTTATTTCTTTGGAATGGACCTGTACGATCTGAGAGAGAAACTTTTCTCAAACTGTGTTTTACTAAGCGTAGTTTGTTTACCGCTTTTCAAATCCGTATGACCACAATTTCGTAACGAAATACGTGTGATGAACGTGATTGTGACGTGTCTTTAATTTAAATGTAGATTTTTTTTACCTTTCTAAATAGTTTTTTTTATGAATACACTTAAGTATGTTTTTATAGATGAATTGATGACTAAGAATAATATACCTATAGAACGTTTGATTCTTTAACATTCCAAATTTATTATATATCAAGGTGAGAATTAAAGTTTTTAATGAAATCCGCCTTCAAAGTTAAATATTCAGCAAATTCACGAATACATTATCACGGGATATCCATCGCTTATTGTCTCTACTTCCAATTTTTTTTAATTTTTTTTACATTGCCCTTACTTAAGGATAACATTATTCTGTGTTGTAAGGACGTTTTAGAAACATAAATTTCACGCCAAATTTCATGACAAACACCTAGATGCGAAACAAATATCTGTGGGTCACCGTCAAATAGTTGTCCCGTGTGGGAATCGAACCCAAGACCCCGACGCCCAAGCCAATACCTTGGTAACTGCGTCACGGATTCATCACAATTAAAATTCTTAACATAATTCACTTTCCTCTCAACATTTACCATTTCCCGTATGTATATTTTCGACTTTCGTTACGGTTAAATTTATAATTAAAAAATATTATCCGACGATTGCTTTAATATAGGCTGACAAGAAAAAATATAAAACTCTGCCATATGGGAACAACCAATGGAACTAATTTCTTCTATAATTTCTTTCTTATACCTATCGATTGGGACCGGCAAAGAAATTGAACTTAACTGAACGTATACTTATAGTACAAACTGTCAAGGTGTGCGTGTTTAATGATGCCTGCTCAAAATTATTAGCTTACCTTATCTTTATTATTTTACAAGGTAAAAAAAATTGTACTTTAGCAGTTTTATTTATTATAGTAACAACAAAAAATATAGTAATTTATAAAACAAAATTGTCAAAATCTCCAGCGATTTGCAAGTACGGAGTCCGTAGGAAATCTGGAACCCAAAATAAAAGAAAGAACTAACCGTAATCGTTTAACCTACGAAATAATGACTTAATTAAATAGTGTTTTCTTAAATTAATAGTGATCAAATAACAAACCTTACCGATGAAAATGATCTTGGTATTATTATACGATTTTCTCACATAATTTCGACACGATTCGACAACACAAACAGGCATAATTAATTATTTATGGTGAGCATATTATCCGTAATTGGTTCAAAATTCAAATGACACTAACGTTAAGTGCAACGCGAGTATACCAATTTTAGTAGACATTTTTTGCGCCGTTCGGTATGGCTGTGTCGTCTAAACAAGTATATAAAATCAAGGGCTGTAAACTTAAAGTTGCCTGCTTGTTTTCCGGTTATTTAATTTAATTTTGGTTATTAAATTTAATACTACTCTAGAATAGATGAGCATATTTTGTACTTCATATTAAAGGGTTTGTTTTAATTGCAAATAAAAATTTCAGTGGTATAGAGTGAATGAGTCTGCAGTCTCAAAACATGAAAGGTCAAGTTTTGATACACCTGATTCCTATACAGGGAGGCTTTTCTAAGTGTATCCATTTTTAAATTCTAGACATAAATAATGTTATATAAAGATGATATATATTTAAAATCAATCGTAATTAATTAATTACATTCATTTGAACTTATCTCAAAATTTGCGTAATTTATGGGCAATTCATTTATTTTACGCGCGATCATTCATAACTAACACGCACACAAATTCGTTTCAAAAGTATAAGACCCATTTATGAATTTCTGATTTTTAGGGAATAGAATGGAAATTTAAAAAATAATTGTTTTTATTTCAATAAACGATTAATAGTACCGTCTGAATCTCCTGTGTGAATTTGGGCACCTTTAGAAAAGCCACCCTGTATACCTATACAGTGAACCATTAATTTTTGTGCATAAGAAGCCTGAAAAATCGTCAACTTATCCGAGGAGTAATACGTAATATTTTTTTTAATGTGATTTACTATCACAAGGGTCTAAAATGACGGTGTAATATGTAGGTACAAGTATATTGTCATTAATATTTTTACTTCACATTTATAAAACAAAACAAGGTACTTACCTATATTAAAATTTGCCTTATTTAAAATCGAAATTCTTGATTGAATTATATGTTTCAATAAAAAAAAAAAGGTTTTCTTAGTAAAGGAGAAAAAAAATTCAACGTTATGTTTAATTTTAAGAGAATAATAAAAAAAATTGTTTGTATGTATTATTGTTTCAAATTGTTTTTAGAAAGCCGAGACCTTATGTCGCTTTGCAAAAGCAAGCGATACCAGTATGGTAAGTGAATTACGTCGCCCTTGGTCGTCTACAACAGTGCGTGCGTTGTTGCCTACCTATTACTGGATTAGAAAAAATGCCTGTATACAAAAACGCCATTTTTACACGCGCTGTATATCAAATATTAGTCGTGGTGGATTTGTGAGAGTTATGCCCGTTTTCACAAACGATCCCTTACTTTAAGTGACCGCCAAAAAAAAAATTAAGAGCTAGTTTCGTTTTCACCACTGCTTAAGCGTCACCTAAGTCACCAATGAAAACATGGGGCCGTCTATTAATCACGTGATGTTTTTTCCCCTCCTCCCCCTTGATGATATTTGGTGAGGTTTAAGATTACCCTACCCAAATTTTTAGTACCTACTTACAAAGAATCTTAAAAGTTTTAGAATATTATCTTTTAGCCAAAATGGCAATAACTGGCGACTAGCAAGCCAAGCCGGAACGTCGTCAAGGCGCGCGGCGCGCGAGTACGTCAGACTACATTCCGCTTTTCGGTTTAGAAATGGCGTGTTTGATGTAAAAATAAATACACGTGATATCTTACTACACCCTCCCTCTCCCCTTGTAATATTTCGTGATTTTTGTCAAACCCATTCCCCCCCTTTCTAGCCTCACGTGATTAATGGACAGCTCCTATGGGCATTTTAGCGCTAAGGGATAGTTTATCTTTTGTGAGCGCATGCGTATAATTTACCTGTCAAGTTTTGATGATATTGCTTCATTCTTTTTTAGAAATTAAAGTTTTAAGAAAAGCTATAAAAATATTAAAAAAAAATATTTTTCATCTATTATTGTGTATTAAATAATATAAAATTTATTGTTAAATTTATTGTACTTAAAACGATGTATTGATTAAAAATCTGTCACCTTGATATTGGTGAAAATGATTTGTCACGGGTTGATTTAGGGAATCCCTTAGATTTGGGCACCCTTACTAAGCGTTAGAGAGTACAATGGTGAAAACGGGCATTAGTAGTGTGTTAATATATCGGATTATTTTGAGTCATATAACAATAAGTAAAAACTATTTATATGTTCAAATGCGTTTCTCAAGAGCAAACTCATGAAATCAAACATTTCAGTATCCCTTAAACAACTTTTTAAATAAATTTACTTATAGTAGGTTAGGTATATCTGTGTTATGTGACCTTGTTCTTAATGTGTAAAAAAATTAGAGCGTAAGCTATATTAATTTTTCAAATAATAAAAATAAATCATAATCAATCTTATCGCTTTCAGTTCAAGTCGCTAAAATAGAATGGAAGAAACTTCGAGACAACCATCGAGATGCGCTAAAGCGCGCGAAGCTAGGCAAGAACAAACTACTACCCGCCCAAATTACAACTTGGAAATATGCTAAAGCGATGCAATTTCTTGAACCACACATGAAATATAGAATAACCGAAAACATCGAAATAGACATTGGGCCGACTACTAGTCCAATGAATTGTGAACAGAATATCATCACAACAGACAACGCTGAACAATTAAAGTCATGGAGTCCGTTGAAAAAACGTCGTGTAGAAGTAAACAATGATAATCAACACGAGGCGGACGCTTTGGAGTCATTTTTTAATTGCATATTGAAAAGTACTAAAATGATGCCTCACTGGATGCAAACACAAGTGAAGAAGAAAATATTTGCTGTTATAATCGAAGCAGAGGAAACGCTCTCAAATCAACAATACGGTAATACTATTAACGATAACGTAACTATTACTAGAGAGCACACTGAAAATGATGACACTGTTGAGACTAAAATAAAAACCGAAGTATTCATAGAAGAAAACCAGGATTACGACGATTGAGTAGGGTTAAAAATTAAATGCTATTGGAATTCAAATATATATCTATATGGTTCGCATATAATATCTGTAATTATCCACTGAGGTAGAGCCCCGCAGCAGCATCTGCTGTTCAACCGATGGTCGGGCTCGTTAAAGAATACCGAAGTAAAGGTGAAGCAACTGATGTAGATACAAACAACAAAGCAACGCCAAACCTATAGGTGTTGCAAATTTTCATGGGGGGAGGTAATTGCTCAACTTGGGGTGAACCGCATAGAGTATGACAGTACTCTAGCGTGGAAGCGTGTTACACACAGAACAGTTACTTGAAGGCCATACAAGTACTTGCCCGAGTACCTTGACTGGACGGGACTCGAAAGTAAATGCTCCTGCCCTGTCCCTTCTTCCTTCTCGCATTAAATAAAACAATTTTTTCAAACGAACCTTGCTACTATTGAGTGAGTAACTGAATTGAATTCTTATATTTTACGTCGGTCACGGGTTATAAATACTAATATCTGTTGACGATTGATATAATTTTTACAAATTACCATATAAATCCAAAGACGAGTTAACAGTCTTATTGTCGTAATTTCTCGTAATTGGACAAGTATGGAAGTTGCGTTTCTTGCGTTCGACTGTACGCAGTATTCTTGGTGATGTATGAAGAATTCTACCCTAAAATGAGAGAGTTAATCATCCACTCTTGTATTGTCAAATTTTATTGATGTTATAGTGAATGCCAAAAATGTTTCACCACGAGTGCCAAAGAAATATTTATACTTTTTATTGCATTTAATTAATATCATATCTAGAGCAACAAGTAATTATTTAAAATTAAATAATAAAAGTAATATACATACATTTCTTTTATTTGTTCGGAACGTGTTACCTTCATCTGCATTGATTAATATACCATTAATTGTCTGAAAAATTTAACTTTTATGTCATTGATTTTTAGCATTAAACGTAGGAACGTTTTCGTAATAATATTTCTAAACAATACAATATTAAATCATCGTAATTATTGACTAATGATTAAAATCGAATTCATGAAATAAATTTGTAAGAAACCCTGACAACTGTCGTAGTCTAGTTTTTCTAGAGCTTAATGTGAAATTAAATAATATTTTTTTAATTACGAAGAAGTTTACGTCAATTCTGCGGATTTTATAGGCTTGCAATGGTTGCTCTCGACGTAGCCGCAAAACAAATGGGTTAAGCAAACGCACTCGCTTTTTTTTTGAGCCGTCGAACACATGCTCGATAGGGATGTACTCATCGCCGGAGGTCTTCTGAAAGAAATACAATTGAATATCGCCGTCAAAGCTACTTGAAAATGTTAAAATTTGTAGAAAAGAAGTACTAACAGTTTTTCGCCGAAGTTTCGGAGTCGAACCCACGTCTTCGGGATACAGACACTTTAATTACTAAGCTAAAAAGTAGCAATCAGGCCAAACCGACGAAAATTTCAACGCCATTTATCTACATTGTTTTTTGCATTTCATACTTTTTCTCCAAATTTTAATTTTTTATCTTAAGTGCAGAGATTAGCGGTACACAAAATTAAATATTGCACTTAAAATTGTACAAAGGAGAGCTTAATGCTATACTGCATTCTCTTCCAGCTAGGTAAAACAGGAAGGAATGACTAGGGCAGTAAAGTAGAATTAAAGACTATGCATATAATAATGTTAAAACATATAGAAAAAGTACGAAACCGCCGTGGGAATCGAACCCACGTCTTCGGCATTCGCGGCCTGACGCTCTAGCCACTGAGCTAAACGGCTGATATCCACAGCGACGAAAATCTTAACGCCTTCTTTCTACATTGTTATTTAGCATTTGAAGCAATGCTTGGCGCATCTATTGTTATATCCTTTCCAGCGTACAAACAATTTCCAATATCGTTTTACAACGATAATTTGAACGAGAGATGTTGCCATTGCTTTTAATAAATTTTTTTTTACGAAGACGTGGGTTCGATTCCCACAGCGGCTTTAATGTTTAATCTTAATGGGTAATAAATTCTAGTAATACCTACATATACTAACATACATACATGTTTATAAATAAATTCATACAAACACATACATAATGAATCTACTTAATTATTTATATTCAATTCAAGGCCAACGGGCAACCTGTGGGCAAAGTGAGATAGAAGTGACAGTGAAAGAATTTGACATAAAAACAGAGCGATGAGACAGTAATGAGTTATGTGAAGAGCGAAGATTAAGTGAATGCGAGCCCCCAAAAAGCTGAAATCTTTCTTTTATATAAGAAGGTGAGGAGGATTGAAAACAGAGTAGACAGGATACGAAACTTTGCGGTGACGTATGGTCAATCATTTTAACAACGATCATTTTATGGAAGTGGGACACGTGGTCATATTACGTTTCGTATGCAATTGTTGAGTAATCTCTCCAACTTGTTCATCAACTCCTGGGAAATGTTAGTAAGACAAACATCGGCATAATCGAATAATGGAAAAATAAGGGACTGAACAAGAAGAAGCTTAGTAGAGGAAGGCAAGAAGGCTTTAAGCCGATAAATGGAACGAAGTATGCCTGTTACCCTGCGACAGATCTCTATTACATGTAGTGTCCAAGTAATCCATGGATGAATAAACAAATAAAATAAATCTTTGACACTACCACAGAAAGGAATGACGATATCCTCATACTGGATAGGTGGTAAATCTTATTTATTATGTCGAGAGATTAACCGATGGCTACCGATAATGATGGCTTAGCATTTATTGGGATTCAACGTTATTCCGAAGCGCTTGGACCAACTTAAAATACGTCTCAGATCACCATTGACCCGAGAAATTGCGCTATCAACATCACCAGAGATAGATTGCGAGTATTTTCTCTATTTGGCGAAAGGTTTTGTATAGATATTGTATTATTAAAAAAAATTATTTATTATATTATATTATTATATTTATTTATTTACGGTTATTAAATAAATAAATAAATAAATGTGTAATATACGTACTGCATATTTGGTATATTTGGTGACTATAAATAAACAATTAACAAACATAGATATTAATACCAAAAACCTGGTTCAAGTTCATCAGTTTTACGACGCGAATGAAAGCCGCCTTATATAAAAATACGCTAAATGAGTTACTGAGGTCCACATACAGGCAGAATTTACAAAAAGTGCCCAAATTTATACAGAAAGTTAAGACTCGGTAGTATGATCGTTTATTGAAATAAAAACAAGCTTTTTTTTTTTTCAAAAAAATTGCCATACTATTCCCTAAAAAACTTGTTGACAATGCGGTAGTCATTCATAAATACCTAAATTTTACTGTGCACGCACACAAACAAAACGAAGCGCTCGCGACGATAAATCGCAGACGACCCTTCCTCTCTTACCACCTCCGTCTCACCCGCGCCGGCACGGCGTCAGAGGCTCTTAGCCTTGAGTCGTGTTTAGGCCCTTCGTTAGTTTCATTTTGACTGTGACCTAATTACGGCCGCACGTCTCTAACGATGTCGGAACAACAACGCCGTCATTCGAACCGCGAGTATTACGAGATGGTACGGTGCTACATCTTAAGGGGTGAAAGTTTACGTGGTGCGCAAAGACTTTATGAAAGTGACTCTTTACCGCGTTTAAAAAGACAAGCAATGAACTCAAGTGTACCTAATCGAAGGGCGATTTTGGCAGCCAACCAAAGGTTATTAGATTCTCGACAATTTCTACACCGGCGTATACAATGTTCAGACACAAGTAATGTTAAAAAATAATAGTTTGAGAAAGCGTGCTCAGCTTTGTATTGAGAGAAATGGACTCCATTTTGAACAATTGTTAAAGTATCAGTGAGTGCTTTTATAGGTAAGTTTAATTGTTGTAAATAGTTGATTCCACTGTTTAAATACGCCATAGTAAGTACGAACAATAGTGTGTGATTTTGAAATAATAAAGTAGTATTTTAGTATTATCGACGACCCTTTATTATGACGGTCCTAAGCCCGTTCTAAGTATGAAGGAAAATTAAAATCATAAACTTATTTGTGCTATGATACGCGTGTATTAACAAACTTTAGTTGTGTGCGTGTCACAATGTAGATAGATGGTGTCGACATTTATACGATGTATACTTTTGAAACGAACTTGTGTGCGTGTTAGTTATGAATGGTCGCGCGTAAGATAAACGAATTGCGTATAAATCACGCACTTTTGAGATAAGTTCAAACGAGTGATTTTAAATATTTATCATTTTTATATAACATTATATAAAAATGATAAATATTATGTCTAGAATAGAATAAAAAAAATTGGATAAACTTATAAAAGCCTCCCTGTATAAATCAACAATCTCCTAATCAACAAGAACAAGTAACCATATAAAGTACCACTATCACAAGTAACTAAAACTATTATTTATTATTCAAAACGTTTTAACATTGGAACTATAACTAACGCCAGGTTCGCTGATCATTTTGACTGTGAGAGCTAATTTCTTTTTACAATCTCTTAGAATGTTATGTTTAAAAAGTTCTTCTCTTTGAAATCGTGTATTCTCATTTTCAAAAGATTCTTCTTTCCTTTCCTACAAAAAATAATTACTTTGGTTAGTTCCCATGAAAACCATCATGGTTTTCATGGGAACTCTTGTCAATTACTCGCAACAAAAATCAAAATTTAGTCGTCAAAAAGAATCCACTTCTCACTAGGTCAATAGGGATACTCAAAATATGAGTTATAAACATAAAATACCCAGGTAATTTATTGTCACCTGCCGGGTCCAAACATGCATATACAGCATGTCGTTACCATTGCGACAATAAATGAAGACACGTCTAACGCTACTTGCCAATAATCATAAAAAAATATTAACGTTAAACAAAATCCATAATTTAAAAAAATATTTTTCAAACTAATTAAGTAAAAAAGAAACAAAATTTGTAACAACCTATACAACTACAACTGACTGATTCATACATTCTGAGACTTTTTCATTCGTTGCCACAGCTTTGCATTACAAGCCTCTCCTT